CAAATTGTGGTGGATGAGATCCGGGAGCGATTGTTTGAGCAGGTCATGAGGATAGGGCTGGACCTGCCCGCTCTGAACATGCAGCGCAGCCGGGACCACGGCCTCCCAGGTGAGGGGCTGCAGGAGTCTCCCCTGACACCCCCCTGCCACCCCCCGCCCCTCGGTGCCTCCCAGGTAGCCCGTAGCTACCCTTCCCACTCTAGGGCCCCCCGCTGCCCCCAGCTCTCCCTCCACCCCAGCACTTTGCTCTCAGGGAGCAGCCTGAGGTCAGGCCCCCACTGTTCCCTGCACCCATCTGGCCAATTTTCCTCCCAGCCTCCTTTGTGTGCCGTAACCCTTATACTAGGAGCATCATAATAATAACAATGACCCGCAGTCTGAAAATCTGTCTCCATCACCGTTTCACTTTGCTTCGTTGTACATGAACCCTGGGGGAAAGAGATTATTATTGCCTCCATTTTGCTGAGGGGGAAACTGAGGCTTGAGAGACTCATAACCTGGCCAGGTTCTCTAGCCACAGACAAAGCTAGAATTTGAACCCAGATCAGCCTACCCCGAATGCCTGTGCCTGTATTATGGAGTAGCCAGTGTGGCTGAGGCTTCTAGACACACTTCACCCCTCATGGATCAGAGACAGACACATTGGGTTGCTCCAGAGGGGGACAGTGAAATGTCCCTATTCTTGGAGCTGGCAGGAATTATGGCAATTTAGGGTCTGCCTTAGGATGGGACAGCAAGGGAAGGACAGAGAGGGTCCTAGAGAGGCCCAGCTGTCCCCCTTGGCCTGAGCCAAGGGTTCAGGGTTCCCTAGGGAGGGGTCCTCCTCTCCGTCTATGACTTCGGTGTGCTGGGGAGGTGGGTTTTCTGCGCTGATGGCATATATGCAAACCTTCCCTGCCGTGCCTATTGACCTCCCCACCTCCAAGCACAGGGCCCTACCCACAGCCACCCGCCACCCCCCCTTGCAGGGTACAATGCCTGGCGGCGCTTCTGCGGGCTCCCGCAGCCCAATAAGGTGGGCGAGCTGGGCACGGTGCTGAAGAACTTGGACCTGGCGAGGAAGCTGATGGCGCAGTATGGCACGCCCAACAACATCGACATCTGGATGGGCGGCGTGGCCGAGCCCCTGGAGAAAAAAGGCCGCGTGGGCCCCCTCCTCGCCTGCCTCATCGGCACCCAGTTCAGGAAGCTCCGGGATGGCGATCGGTGAGGAGGGGGTGCAGGCCTGCTGGGGGGCGGGGCCTATCCTGGACCCTCTCAAGGTCCCAGTTTCCTCCAGTCAAATGAAGGGCTGGAAGGAGTCAGTGATTTTCCACTGTGTTCTGGGGAGACTCCAGGTCATCCCTAAGGTGCCCTGAACTTATCTGGGGGTGCAGCAAGGAGAGACCTGGACCTCTGGTTGTGAAGGAAGACAGAAAAAAAATGCGACTCTTAACTACTTCTCCCTCTGGGTCCCACTGACATGGAGGTGTCAGTCACTATTGAGCAGTCCTGTCCTAGCTTTCCCACGCTTCCCTTAGTGCCATTTCATCGTGGTCCTGACATCTTCATGTCTGGCTCTTTCCTAGCCTGTGTTGCACTTTTGGGAAAATTAGAAATAGGTGCCTCTCTCTGGGTGGGCAAATTATAAACCACCCCCAAGATTCTCTCCCACCCCCGTGAATGCAGCTCCAGGCCAGGGCACAGGGCTTCAGGAGTGGGTGTGGCCCGGCTCCCCCTCCAGCATTGGTGGTTCCCTGGAGGCTGCTGGGCTGGGCAAGGGAGAGGCAGCCGGGCAGCCGGGCTTTTCTCTGCACTGTGAGAGGGGGACCGCTAGTTTGAAAGCCCCTGGGCTGCCCGAGGGCCTGGGGCTCTCCCATGCTGCTGGGCGGTGTCTGCTGTGGTCCTCTTGCATCCAGGGAGCAGCAGGTACAGTGTCCGCGGGTGTTCCCCATGCAGGTTTTGGTGGGAGAACAAGGGCGTGTTCAGCACACAGCAGCAGCGGGCCCTGGGCAAGATCTGCTTGCCCCGCATCATCTGCGACAACACAGGCATCACCACCGTGTCCAAGAACAACATCTTCATGTCCAACTCATTTCCCCGGGACTTTGTCAACTGCAGTACACTTCCTGCGTTGGACCTGGCTGCCTGGAGGGAAAAGGCCTAGGGGCTGGGTAAGGGGGTGCAGCAGTGAGGGGTATACCTGGGCTGGCCAGTTGGAACCACAGAGATCTCCTGTCTGTAGGTGAGCACATCCTGTTCTGTCATGAGCTGAGAAAACGAGTGGCTGGATGTTCATTTGTGCGCGTGTGCGTGATTGTGTGTGTGTAGGTGTGTGTGTGCACGCTTATGTGAAGTGTCTATAAATTGGCATCTCATATGGCTGTGAACATGGGTGGTGTGTTACATGCTCTGCGTGTGCGCCATTTGTGTGAGTGTGTGTTTGCTGTTTTTGAGAATGTTAAGTGCGTGGAGGGCAGCAGAGCAGATGGGTGAGGAGCCCAGCTCAGGAGCCGGACAGCCTGGGCCCCTCCCTGGCTCTCACACTTACTGGCTGGGTGACCTGGGGCAAACTACTCGGCCTCGCCAAGCATGAGTTTTCTTCCTTGCAAATCACGGCTGTCAGGGCTCCTCAGAGGCCCGTTTGCATCATCTCATTCTTCATTTGTTGTGCACCTACTGTGTGCAAGGCGCTGTGCTTGGCGTGGGAAACTCACAGAGGCAGGAGAGATACCAGGATACCACTTGTGCCCTCAGGGAGCTTGCCCCTTGGCTGTGTCCTGGCTTGCAGAGGTGAACCGGTGACCCCGGAGGATGGACCGCTCGCAGCTGGGCCGTGTGGCTCGGGCCGCGGCTTCCCTCTTTCTTCCTTACTCTGTTTTCTTGCTTATTCACAGGCGTCCTCCTGAAGAGGAACTGGGCCCAGTGGCCTTTCTGTACCCTTTGTTTGCCCTGATGTTTATGGTAATAAAGCACCTCGGATGGGGATCTCTGCTCTGTCGTGTCTGCGGAGGGGCCGACGCCTCAACAAGAGGCTCCCGCTGGGCGCTGAACCTGAACCAGTGTGGCCTTTCTGAACTGGGGGTGAGGGCTCCGGGGAGTCCTCCTTTGGCTGATCCACACCTGGGGGGCAGGTCATGCCGAGCAGACCCTCCTCCCCTACCCTCCACCCCTGCCACCCTGCAGGGGACTGTGGTCACTGAGCCCTCCTGTCCGTTCATTGCTCTGGCAAACGTTTGCTGTGTGCTCACTCTGTGTCAGGAAGTAGAGGGGACAACGTGCTGTGTGGGGGAGAGAAAGAGCAGAGGTCGGGTAGGAAGGCAGCCCCCCCGCCCAAGGAGAGGGGACCCCTGCGTCCTGCATCCCTGCAGCCTGGCACAGGGGTTCAGAGGCCCTTCCTACTCCTGGCTCCATGTGGCCAGCCTCCCTGAGCAGGGACAGCAGATGGCTGGGCCCAGAACGCAGGGTCAGCGCTGCGGGAGGAGGAGGACTGCATTTCCCAGTAGCCTTGCCTGGAGCTTGACCCCTACATCTGACAGGTGGTCCCTCCTGCTTCCCTCCACTTTCCCCACACACGGGGAGGGGGCACCGCAACTGGGAGCTGGAAGGCGCTGGAAGGCGTGGAGGGTGATGGGGTCTGGTGGACCCTGGGGCCCCCAGGTAACGTTAGGGCCTCACTGTGGTGAGCAGCAGGGTGAACACTGCTGGTCCCCGTTTCATTGATGAGGACAGGGCTGCTCAGAGAGGCAGAGGGGCTCATTTGAGCCTCAAAGAAGCGGTGGCCAGAGCCAGGGCTGCAGTCCAGGTCATCAGGCTGCCTGGCTCTTCCCACAGGATGGCTAAGTGTCTCCCACTCCCACCCTGCCGGTCAGGGTACCCGAGGCTCTGGCTGGGCTGACCTTACCTGAAGGGTCATTTTAAAATAACATACGAATCTGTATTGGGCAGCAGCTCAGGAATATTCTGAAATTGCCCCTTAGAGACTTCACAGGCCCTAGGACTGCCCTCGAACTGCAGTCCCCAACCCCCAGGGCTGCAGGCAGGTACCATCTATGGCCTGTTAGGAACCAGGCCGCACAGCAGGAGGTGAGCAGCGGGAGAGCGAAGCTTCACCTGTGTTTACAGCTGCTCCCCATCGCTAGCATCACCGCCTGAGCTCCGCCTCCCCTCCCCCACCCCACGGAAAAATTGTCTTCCATGAAACCTGTCCCTGATGCCAAAAAGGTTGGTGACTGCTGCCTTAGAAGAAGAGGGTATTTCCCAGAAGGGCCGCTGGAAGAGAAATTACCTTTAGCTGCAGGGGAGTTCAGGCTTGGTTTTCCTTCCTGTTTTATCCCTTGGCAACACCAGTAATTCCCGCCCCCCCCCCCAGCAGCCCATCTCCTGCTACTCCACAGCCAGTTCTTCTACCCCAGGAGCCCTTGCTTCAAGAGCTCTTGGAAATCCCACCACACCGTGCCCTCCCACCCCAAGAGCCACACGTGCCGTGTCTTAGCAGTGAGATGGGTGTGGATTACAAAGATCTAGTTACTTATTTGGCAGTAATTCCAAGGCCTGACTTCAGAGGGAACAGTGTCATCGCCAGCATCTTTAGTTGCAGGGAACAATGTCACTGCCAGCATCTTTAGTCGATCACCAGGTGCGTTTGAGCACTAACTGTGTGCTGAGCACCACACTGGGTGCCATTGGGGGACACTCGGAAGCAGGCTGAAGTCCTGGCTCAGGGAGCATCCAGTCTAGCTTGAGAGGACAGGAGGACAGATAAGGGTCAAAGGCCACAGCCTCAGCAAGGCTTGTTGAGGGGAGAGGATAGGTGACATGCAGCAAGCTAGCCTGGAAGGGCATCTCAGAGGGCCTAAGTCTGGACAGAAAGGAGGATTTCCACAGGCAGAGAGGATGCAGGGGGAAGTGGGGGAGCTGAGTGCCAGAGCTGGGGAGGCCAAGGCAGCCTCCCCGGGGCCTGGACGAGCTGTTCATCTGTCAGATGTAGAGAGGCCCGGCTGGGAAGAGGGGCTGGGACTGGGTGTGGAGCTCTAAAGGACCAGGTCATTGGACTTGTGTGAAATGGCATCGTGGACCAAAGGGGCTTTACTGTGCAGCGTGGAGGCCTTGGAGCCCAGGCCCCTAATTCTCTGCTGAGGCCCAGGGTGAGAGGTCCAGCTTGTCAATGGCTGAGCAATCCACAAAGCCTCGTGGGTAGCTGTTAGCTCGGAATGCGTTCAGCGGGACCTTGGTGATACGGGTATTGTCACAGACAAGGCGTGAGAAGGACATTTTCTGTAGAGAGTCCCACTGCCTCTTCGTGAAGACCCTGGGGTTTTCCCACCAGAACCTGCAGAGACAGAGCAGGTCATTCCATCCAGTCCAGCTGTGGCCCCGCCCCCTCTGCCACAGGGGAAGGAAGGAGGCCACTGGGACCATGAAAAAGCCCCACTCACACTGAGGTCTGGAGTCAGATCTCATGCAGGACGCAGGACACTGGGACACCCACCCTGGAGAAGGGCTCCACCCTGCCCTCCCCAGCTGAAGTCTCACTTGCCTGTCTCCGTCACGGATCTGCTGGAACTGCTTGCCCAGGAGGCAGGCCAGGAGAGGCCCCACCCGGCCCCTTTCCACCAGGGGCTCAGCGATGGCCCCTATCCAGACGTCGATGTTGTCAGGGGTGCTGTAGAGATGCAGTAACTTCTTGGCCAGCTCCTTGTTCTTTAACACAATGTTCAGCTCCTTCAGTGTCTGCGGCTGTGAGAGGTCACAAAAGCCTCTCCAGGAGTTGTACCCTAGGATGGAGAGGCCGAGGCTGTCTTATCCCTGCTCACACCCCCTGCTGGGGACATACCCACTCCAGCTCTGTCAGCCCTAAAAAGTCTGGGCTCACAGCCTTTGGGATGGGGAGGCAGTGATCTGTTATTTTGTGTTTGTGGCACTGTAGTCCTGAGGGGGCTGGTAGGTTCCGTGATACTTACCATAAGTCCAGGCACTATTCTAAGCACTGAAGAAAAGAATGTTAAGTGATTTGCCCAAAGTCCCATAACTAGTAAATGGCATAGCTGGGATTTGAACTCAGGCAGTCTGGCTTTTAATTACTGTATTAAATTGCCATTTATAGGTACAAAAGAAAGGTCCAACAGTCAACAATTTCTCTCTGTTCTTTCCTTAAAACTTTCTGAGCTTTTAAACTGTTTTTACAAGTTAGTTGTTGTTCTCTTTTTCATCTGAGGAACTCCAAGATAGTACCAAGTGTGTGCTCTTGTCTCTGCATGAGGGAAAATGGAAGATTCCACTTTGTAGATGAACAAAGCGGGTTTTAAAAACTGCCCTTCCTTCCATTTCAGAATGGATCAGATTCTCAGGGTTATAGAGGAGAGTCTCTAAGAGCCCCAGAAATTAGCTCAAAGTTCCCCAGCGCAGGCCAGACCCCAGCCCACTCACCAGGCTGCCCGTGGTCCCGGCCACGCTGTATGTTGATGGCAGCTAGGTCAAAGCCGTGGATCCTGTGAGTTGGCTGGAGAAGCTTGTTGCGCAGCTCTCCCATCATCATTTCATTCTGTTTCATCAACTTGGCCTTCTTGGCCAGCAGGCCCCGCACCAGAGGATCAATCCCACCTGCCAAGAGGGACCCAGAGGCCATCCTTAGGATGGAGTAGGGTGGGGACATCTTCCATGGCTGGCCCCTGCCTCCGCCAGACACTTTCTCTTGGATGAAAGTAGGGCCACCTGGACAGCGTTGGCTGGAAGTAGGGAGAGGAGAGCACAGTGCAGCCTGCAGGGTGTGCTCAGGGGGAGAGGAGAGTCCAGGCTGCCTGCTCCAAGGGTGGCAGAAAGGGCGGGATGATGACATGAGTATAAATGTCGAGATTTTTTTTCAAGCTCTAGTTCATGGAGTCAGCTCCTTCTCTTTCCATGTGTTCTGCTGAGGAATGCTGTAGAATGGAAAGAGGTTGCATAAATCTTTAGGAAATGGCCCTAATGCATCAGGCCTTAAGTAAAGCCAGTGCCAGCACAGCACAGCCCAGGGATAAAGGAGGGCCGGCTCCCACCTCTGACACCTCATAGAGGTGGAAGGCTTTAGAGGAGAATAGAAAAGAGTAGTTTATTTACCAAGCCCACAAATTCTTTCTATAAAGGTCAGAGAAGCCTAGGGCAGGGAAAGGAGGTAGGGAAATCCCAAGCACCTTAGAAGCCAGAAGAAGGAAATAAATAACTAATATTTATTGATCACCTCCTTTGTGTCAGGAACCATTGTAGGGTGCTCTACATGTATATCTCATTTAATTTTTTGGATATCCACATGAGATGGGTACTATTATTTTCCCCATCTTACAAATGAGGAAACTGAGGCTCAGTGAGGTGAATTCACTTGCCCAAGGTCACACCAAAGTGCTTGGAGTCTGACTTCCAAGTCAGGTTTCCCTACGAACAGGCTGCAGAGAGGAGAGCCAGGTGACAGCTCCCTGAAAGGAACATACCGTCTTTGACTATCTTCCAGGTGTTGAAGAAGACGGTGTGCAGGGCGAGTGCTGGCTCTGGACCCCATGGCTGATAATTCTCATCCAGATGGGACACAGTAGAGGGGACTTCCAAGTGGCCAAAGTGGAAGGCGAAGGTGAAAACATTGGAAATTCAGGGATCCACAGATTCATTGTAGCATCAGTAGGGGGGGATCCATTTATGCATATGGTCACCTAGCACAATGGGTAGGTAATCTCTAAAGGTAATAATATGGAGAGAGAAATGAGGAAAGGGTGTGAGAAGGTTTGAACTTCTGCAGAGAGAGGCTGGAGAAGAGCTGTGGCCAAGAGGGATGAACAGTCAAAAATCAAGGATGGCAAATGGATAGCATACATACCTAGTTTCCATTCCTATGACCATGGCAGACATTGCTAATCAATCATGGCATCCTGTCTCCTGATCTCCCATCATTTGTCTTAGCATAGGCTCTACTAATCAGTCATTTGAATTTGGCACATGAGATGTACTCTCTTTGTCATCTTTGCTCTAAGTTTATGACCTTGATGCTAAAGTGGCAGTCTTTGTGTGTCACTTTAATGTAACAAAGTCAGCGTATGAGGAGAACAATAAATAGGAGTGATTGAGGTGCAACCAAGGGAAATTCATTCAATCTCCAGTTCTGAAAGAAATGCTGCATCATGGAAAAATTGGTTTCTAATGTTGTTTTATGCAACACCAACAAACAACACAAATAGAAAATATTTTCAGAAAAGAAAAATCATGCCTCCACATAACACAATAATTATATTAATTTGTATTCTTTCTAGCCTTTATCTATATGATATTATTTTACATAGTTATAATCCTAGGGAATGGATAGCTTTGCATTCTGCTTTTTCACTTAACATTTTCCACATTTCTAACTAGCTTTCACAATTATTTTAAATGTGTGAAATATTCATTGGCCATTCTCTTACTGATTTGCTCTTAGGTGGCTTCTAGTTTGTTCAGTGGCATATCCCGTGGGGATGTCACCTGTGGATCAGGTGGTCTATCTCCTGGCTGTGGGAGGCAGCAGGGGACAAAACCCCACCTCCCGCCACAGTGGATGGCCCAGCTGTGGCACTCGACCAAGCTGGTCAGTCAGATTCCCTCTCAGGAACTTAGATTGGGGACGCAGCTGTTCTAGACTGTTTTGGATGGTGCTGGATCTGAGGTGGCAGGTGGAGTCACATAGAGGCTCATTTTCTACCATGTGCTGAAAAGCAGAGAAGACCCATTTGCGGAGAGAGTGGAGAACAATGGAGAAATTGAGAGAGGAACGGAGAGGAGGGAGAGACAGAACCAGAGTAGCTGCCCTAATTCAAGATGGTTTCCAATCTCTGGCTTTAACCCTTGACGAGGCTCAACTACACTCCCTGTCTTGGGGTCCCAGAAGAAACCCTTATCATCTTCCATTTGACAAATGCATAGGGTAGAACCAATACTGAACATCTGAACTAGCCTGAGTAGGTTTCTTTTTCTTGTCGTCCAAAAAGCATCGTTATGGACTGAACTGTGTACACCTCAAATTCTTATGTTGAAGCCTTAACCTCTAACGTGACTGTATTTGTAAATAGGGCCTTTAAGGAGGTAATTAAGGTTAAATGAGGTCATGAGGTGGGGCTCTAATCCAATACACTGGCATGCTTATAAGGAGAGAGAGATATACCAGATAGGCACACATATGGAGAAAAGGCCATGTGAAGACACAGTAAGAAGGCAGCTGTCTACAAGCCGAGGAGAGAGGCTTCAGTGAAACCAAATCTGCCGACACCTTGATCTTGGACTTCCAGCCCCTAGAACTGTGAGAAAATTTTTGTTTAAACCCTCTAGTTTCTGGTATTTTGTTATGACAGCCCTAGAAAACTAATATAGCAAACTAATATAAATACGTGTATGAGGCTCTGGTTCTAGAACTAGATGGAGGAGACTCATTTTTCCTTGCTCCTCCCACTAAACATAAGTAAACACCCTGGAAATTATTCAATAGGCAACAATAAAAGGACTTTGAAAGCTGGAAAGAAGAAGGTAATTGGCTGGGGATTTTATGACTTGGGGAATACCAACATGGTGAGTTCCTACATACCCTCAGACTGGGTGCAGGAGCGGCTGGCAATCTGGAACCTCCAACAGAAATAAACGAAAGAAGTCAAGTAAAGCCTGCTGTCTCCTGCTGAAGGATTGGGCCAAGGGAAGTCCAGCAGAGACCTAGTAGAAAACCCTGATTCCTGTTTCACACCTCACACCCCCTTGAAGACTCTAGCTATCCCAGCACTCGATCCACAATCTAGGCTGGCAAATGGGCTGATTGGCCTGCAGTAGTGGCAGCAGTGAAGCTCTGTGTCTCTTTGCTCATCACCTAGTGGCATAAGAAGATCAGGCACAGTGGTCTCTCCTTCCCTAAAAGGTTGCTGAGCAACAACAGACAGTGAGGAAAGTACCTTCCTGCCTTGCAGACAGCATCAGCAGGGATGGAGTGGGAGGCCCACAAGCACCAGAAGAATGAAGCAAACCAAAATAGCATTGCTAGGTTCAGGAAACTAAACTTTGATGGAAATAAAGCTCACAAAAGTAGTCCAGAACCTAGGTGCTAAACCTAAACAAGGTAACTATGTGCTAAAGATTTAAATAGGATTAAGAGTCTCCTAACACAATAACCAAAATGTCTAGGATACAAATGAAAATCACTCATAATACCAAGAACCAGGAAAGCCACATTTTGAGTGAGAAAAGACAATCAGCTAATGCCAAGACCAACAGGAATCAGATGTTAGAAGGATCTGATATTGTAAAGCAGCCATTATAAAAATGCTGCAATAATCAATTATAGATTCTCCTGAAACAAACAAATAAAAAACAGAATATCATGGCAAAGAAGTAGAAGTTAAGAAAAGGAAACAAATTAAAATGATAGAACTGAAAATATACTAACTGAAATTTTAAAAAGACCTAAATAGACTCAATAATAGAGTAGAGGTGACAGAGGATAGAATTGAAGACAGATCAATAGAATTTACTCAATCTTAACAACAGAAAGAAAACAGACTTTATAAAAAACCTCAGACAAATGAGAGTCTCGGGGTTCTGTGAGACAATAACAAAAGGTCTAACATTCATATCAATGGAGTCCCAGAAGTAGAGGAGAAAGGAGGTGAAACTGGAAAAGTATTTGAAGAACTAATCCCTAAAAATTTCTCAAAATTGGTGAAAGACATACATTTATAGATTTGGGAAGGTGACTGAATCCCAAGCAGTATAAACATAAAGAAATTTACTCTAAGACACATCATAATTAAATTTCTGAAAACTAAACATAAAGAAAATTCTCAGGCCAGGTCTCACGTCCGCAATCCCAGCACTTTTGGAAGCTGAGGCAGGAGTATTGCTTCAGCCCAGGGGTTCGAGACCAGGGAAAAAAAGAAAAAGTTTTAAAAACAACCAAAGAGAATGACAAATTACCTATAAAGAAGCACCAATCCAAATAACAGTGAATTTCTCATCTGAAACCATGGAGGCCATGAGAAAGTCACAAAACATTTTTCATGTGCTGAAAGAAAAGAACTGTCAACCCTGAATCTAGTATCTGGTGAAACTATTCTTCAGGAATAAATGGGAAATAAAGACATTCTCAGATGAAGGAAAAGTGAGAAAATTTGTTGCTAGCAGACCTATCCTTAAAGAATGGCTAAAGAAAACTCTAAACACCAAGATAGTGATAACAAAAGAAGGCTGGGACTTCAAAAAGGAAAGAAGAACAATGTAATCAGTAAAAATAGAAGCAAACATAAACTATTTTATACCTTATAAGTTTCTTTAATCATATTTTATGATTGAAGCACCATATAATGTCATGCAAAATGTATGTAGAGGAAATACTTTAGATAATTATATTTTAAAAGTGATGAGGTAAAGGGTCCTAGTGGAAGTAAGTTTTCTAAATTTCGCTTGAAGTGATAAAACACTGACATCAGTAGATTGTGATATGCCATGTGTCTTTATCTTTCTATATCTATCTACCCATACTGAGAACAACCACAAAAAAAACCCATATAAAGCAATATATGAAAATCTCTAAAAATCGATCTCTAAAAATGTTCAATTAACCCACAGGAAGGCAAGAAAAACAATAACAACAGAGGAACAAAAAACAAAAGGAACAAACAAAAACCAAATAATAAAATGGCATGGTTAAGTCCTAACACATTAATAGTTACTTTAAAGGTAATTGGTCTAAATACATTAGTTACAAGGCAGAGATTGGCACAGTAGATTTTTTTTTAAAAGTGACCGAACTACATGCTGTCTACAAGAAACTCACTGTCTACCAGAAACATGATGACATACGTAGGTTGAAATTGAGGAAATAAGATATAACACAGAGACATTAATTTTAAAAAGGAGTAGTGGCTACATTAATGTCAGATAAAGTTGACTTCAGAACAAATAAAGTTACCTAGGACAAAAAGGGACATTACATAATGAAAAAAGGATCTATCCGTCAAGAAGATAAAGCAATCCTAAATGTTTATGCATCAAACAACAGAGCTTTAAAATACATGAAGCAAAACCTGATAGAACTGAAAGAAGAAATAGGCAAATTCTGAATTATAGCAGACACACACACACACACACACACACACACACACAGATGATTGAATTTATAACTGGTGAAATCTGAATAAGCTGTATGGTTTGTATCAATGTTAAACTTCCTGATTCTCCTATTGTACCATGGTTATGAAAGATGTTAGTACTGGGAGAGGCTGGGTGAGGGGTACACAGGACCTTCCTGTACAGTTTTTGGAACTTCCCGAGAATCTATAATTACTTCAAAATAAAATGTTTTAAATATATCAACATGTCAACATTTTTTTTTTTTTTTGAGACAGGGTCTTGCTCTGTCACTCGGGCTGGAGTGGCACAATCACTGCTCACTGCAGCCTTGAACTCCTAGGCTCAAGTGATCCTCCTGCCCAGCCTCCTGAGTAGCTATGACTACAGGCATGTGGCACCACACCCAGCTAGTTTTTTCTTATTTTTTAGAGACCAGGTCTCACTATGTTGTCCAGGTTGGTCTCAAACTCCTGGCCTAAAGTGATCCTCCTGCCTCAGTCTCCCAAAGTCCTGGCGTTACAGGTGTGAGCCACTATGCCCAACCTAACATATTAATCTTTCTAGTCGGTCAGCCGATCAACAATACCAGCCCGTGACATGTCGCTTAGGTACAGAGGATTAAAAAGGAAGAGAATGAAATCAAAATAACCCATATCACTACAATGTAGCAGTCCCAGGAGTGGCAGAGCCTATGGTCCCAGTGATGGCACCAGTGCAAACACACTAAAGGGATCAACATCTGGATGACTCTCCATCACTCTGAATTCAGGGATTCGTTTTGGGACAGAGAAGCTGAAGAAATGAAAGAAGGGGGCATTTATAAGGACTAGACAATGGGAGAGAAGCAGTGGAGGAGAAGAAGGGGGACATGGAGGTCTGAAAACAGAGGAGGTAGCTGGAGGTGTGGCAGCGAGCAGAAGGCAGAGCTGGGAGCCGGGGGCCAGGCGGGCCTAGGCCTTCCTATGTGCACAAAGGCTCCCAGGATATTCTGGGCTTCCTGGTAAGAGCTTGTCTCCATCCCACTGAGGGTTGAGTCTCTTCAGTTCTCTGGCCAGCCGGTTGTGCTCGCGGAGAAAGAGGGTGTGGGAAGTGGCCAGCAGGGTCTGCTCTGAGGCTCAGGAATCTCCTGAAAGCACAGAAGGCAGGAAGGTGGCTTCTCCCAGAGCAGGCCTGGGAACCCAGGAACCCACACAAAGAAATGATGGTGCCCCCTGGGACCCTCTCCTAAGCCCCTCCTGCCAGTCAACTTAAGGGAAGTGAGGTGGAGAGGGATGGGGACTGGGGGAGGAATCACAGGTTTGAACTCAGTTCTATACACACACTTTTTAGCTGTGTGACCTTGGGCAAGTTACTGAATGTTTCTGAGCCTCAGTCTCCGTGTCTGTGAAAGTGGGGATAATAAGGCCTATCACATGGGTGGGAATCTGGTAAAGAGTACTGACATACGAGGAAGGAAAATTTTGTTAATTATAATTCAACTTTCCTCTAAGAAGGGCAGGTGAAATAAATGAGGGGCTTTTTATTTTGCAGAGCAACTTTGAAAATTTTAGGAATGCAGGTTTGAGGGTAGGAACCTGGGTAGGGCCAAATTCCTCTAGGTAATAAAGGGAGAAGAATCTAGATGAGGGCCTGTGGGGGGGTGGAGAGGAGTAAGGATGGGGGAAGTTACATGGTGAAAGACCAGGTGTCCTCTAATCTTTAGGAAAGTCTACTAAATCCACAAATTCTTGGTGTTAGTGCATATTTTTATGAAAATAGGAAACAGCTTGGCATTGTGTCTGGATTGATATGGGGTATGTGTGAACACAAAGTCCAAAAGATCTACCAAGAGATCTTGGCCTCTGGGCAGGCTTTCTGCCATGTCAGGGTGCCAGGAGGTTGTCCTAGGAGAGTAGAGTTTTGAAGGAGCAAAGGGCTCCAGAAGCCAGAGACAGAGGCCCAGGAGGGTGTGAGCCCCTGGAAGGAACAGAATCAGGAGGGCTTTGGTCACATGCAGGTTGCCTTAAAAATATACGTTCCCCTCGCCGGGCGCGGTGGCTCATGCCTGTAATCCTAGCACTCTGGGAGGCCGAGGCGGATGGATCGCTCAAGGTCAGGAGTTCGAGACCAGCCTGAGCAAGAG